CAATCTGACCTAATGACATCATTATCACATGGCACAGCTGATAGGTTCTCTCCTGTATCGGTAGCCAATGAGCTCGCTGCTCAACATTCAAATATATGACTAGTGCTTGCTGTAGCAGTTGCAGCATGCTTCAGACACACTCCACCCTCCTTCCCCAGCTCCACCTGTATAGATCTGCTACGTGGTGATCATGTATGGTATATGGGGGTTATTTCATGTATGTTATATGTGCAGCAGCAGTATTTCTTACATGCTCACAGCAGCATGTTGTGGTTGTATTGGCAGTAGCAAGTCTCAGTACTTGCAGCAGCAGTGTTGCAGTAGGGGTGTGCAATATATATAATCTGCGATAATATCGTAGTTGTTGTTTTAACTATGTGCTATTTGACATTATTGAGTATTTTGCAAAAACCATTCAAAACACCTACAGAGAGCATGCATACATTACTTGAAATCTAGACAAGTGCGAGTGCGCATTTTGTGCATTCTTTCACTGCATGATTCAGTCTATTGAAATACATTTAGAATGTTAAAATGTACAAATTCAAGACATGGGGCTGAAAATGTCCATGATTACAAATGTGATATAGATTTTTTTTTACAACAGTTCAATAAACAAGAAGTTCATTAAGAGACTTACATTTTAGACACCATATTGTCTAAATTATTAGACACCTCTATTTCGCCAACAAAAATAATTCCAAACACAGCCACAGCACTGTTTTGCGTCTCTGAACAACATGACAGTGTTTTGTTCCTGAATGAAACAACCGCTTAAATGATTCGGTTCAATCGCAATGACTCACTCATTAACAAAAATAATTCCAAACACAGCCACAGCACTGTTTTGCGTCTCTGAACAACATGACAGTGTTTTGTTCCTGAATGAAACAACCGCTTAAATGATTCGGTTCAATCGCAATGACTCACTCATTAACAGTGACTTGCTGCCACCTACTGGCGGGTTTAGTTTGATATTTACATTATATTTTTATTATTTAAATAATTTCAAAAATAAATATTCTACGTTTTATGTTAATATATATATAAACATTATTTATGCATTTGTAACTGCAGGTTAAAGCATTCATGTCCTGCATTAAACAGTGTGTAAATACATCTAAATGCCACTTTAGATGCAGCGTCTGTTTCCTCCGCATTGCAAAGATGAATTTTGTTGATACTGATTTCATTTGCTTGGTAACAGCCCAAATGTCTTATTATTCAAATTCACTGATTAAATGTAAGAATTTGATTCAAAAGATAATGCACGTTTTATAAAGGTAAAATGCTCATAAAATGTAAAAATCTATTTAAACTTGAAAAGATTCCACAAAAAAGATTTGGATACTGGAAAATATTAATTTCTATCAGTGTGAACTGACCACAACACAGAATAGGAAGAATATCAAAAACTTTAGGAGTCAGCTGTCTACAGCAGTCCTTAAGATACCAGCACAATAACACACATAGCAAAATATCGTCTAATTATCATTATCGATAAAATCACAGAAAATATCGAGATATTTTTTTTTGTCAATATCGCACACCCCTACGTTACAGAACCAGACCATTATAGAAGTGCAGAGGACGGATTCAATGACTGCAGAGTAGAACTGTTTCAGCAGCTCCTGTGGAAGGTTGAACTTCATCAGCTGGCAAAGGAAGAACAACCTCTGCTGGGCCTTCTTGACAATGGAGTCTATGTGAGTGTCCCACTTCAGGTCCTGAGAGATGGTGGTTGTAAAAAACGGAGCGAGTTTCACGGTGCTACGCAAACTGACGCTTAATGGCACTCTTCACCCGTCAGAAACTCTCTGTGTCCCATTTATGGATGCCAAAGGGCAGCTACAGTGGTGCCAAGGAAACTGAATGACTCTACTGTTGTTACAGTGCTGTTCATGATGGTGAGTGGGGGAGTGCAGGGGGGTTCCTCCTGAAATCCACAATCATCTCCACTGTTTTGAGCATGTTCAGCTCCAGGTTGTTAAGACAGCACCAGACAGCCTTAAACCTCCTGTCTGTAAGCAGACTCATCACCATCCTGTATGATTCCAATAAGTGTGGTGTCATCTGTGAACTTCAAGAGCTTGACAGAGGGGTCTTTAGAGGTGCAGTCGTTGGTGTACAGGGAGAAGAGCAGTGGGGAGAGAACACATCCCTGGGGGGCGCCAGTGCTGATGGTGCGGGTGCTGGATGAGAATTTTCCCAGCCTTACCAGCTGCTGCCTGTCTGTCTTTTCTTTGGGATGGGGATGATGGTGAAGCGTTTGAAGCAGGAAGGGACTTCACACAGCTCCAGTGATTTGTTGAAGATCTGTGTGAAGATGGGAGCCAGCTGGTCAGCACAGGTTTTCAGACAGGCTGGTGTATCACCGTCTGGTGCTTTCTTTCTCTTCTGTTTCTGGAAGACCTGACACACATCCTTTTCACAGACCTGAAGTGCAGGAGGAGGGAGAGGGGGTTGCTGGAGGTCTTAATGGATCCATGAAGGTCAACATGGGTGTGAGACAGGGTTTTTCAAACCTGGAATAAAACTCATTCAAATCGTCAGCCAGTTGATTCTCCACAGTGCTGGGGGATGGTCTTGTGAATTGTGAAATATGGTATGTACCGGACCCATTTTTATTTAATATGTCACAGCAGATTTTTTCAAGTCAGGACCTATACAATATTCTCGGTTGTTCCATACCCCGTGCAATACCTCCTATGTTCAATAAACAATGCTAATTTAAAAAAAAAAAGCAATTATCCATAAAATCATATATTTATAACATCAACATAAACATACATTTTTAAAAAAGAAGACAAAATGCTTCCCATAGTTTTGCTTTTGTGGTTAAAGCCTGTGTCACGTTCTTGTGTGGCGAGTTATTGTCGTTATTGTTTTTAATTGTCCAATATTTTCATTATTACATTGTTTAATATCATATTGATTAACACACTTCAGAGTTTCCTTTAAAGGTACATTCTTTATTTTTTTTACGCAATTGTGGTAGTGTGCTTGATCACCTCTTGATGTCTCATCTAAAATCTGGGTCCCACAACAAAACCAGAATCACTGCTCTAGGGTGTTTTCTGTTGGGTTCAGTGTGGAAGTGAATGTCAGGGTGTTGCCCCATTGTATCAGACTTTTCAAGACAATTGTTCAACAACAATTCAAGAGCCTCCCTAAAACTCATTGCAGAGATGTAAAATGCAAAGATGTTGTACTGGTATTAAAATAAAATGGGTGTAATATTGTGTCCATCATTCACATACCAAATACAGTATGATACAATAGCTAATTCTGCTCTGGAATAAATGCCACAATCATACGAGCTTTAGGCCTGAAGGTGAGATTTGAGTTCCTTTTCACATTATAATTGTTGTATAAGTTCGTTTTTACTTATGTTACTTATGCTAATTTAGGGAGCTTTTGAGGGGGTTCTCAATTCTTTGACTTTTGGGTACAAGATTAGGGCACAATGAGAAATTTGTTAGCTATTTAAAAAAAAAGCATAATCAGTTTCCAGTAAATACAATAAATGGATTTTAACTCACCTCATCCCTGACAGGCTTAGCCCTATTCTTGAACTCTGCAGAGTTTGAATAATTGAGTGCATTTATAAATCTGTCAAAAGAGTGAAACTCCAGATCTGTTAGCACCTCAGGTACTATTTTTGAAGTAGTTGCTGTGGAAGATGTAGATACTGTAGATGTTGTAGACTCTATAGATGCTGTAGAAGCTGTAGACTCTATAGATGCTGTAGATGTTGTAGATGTTATATAAGCTGTAGACTCTGAGCTTTAGACTCTGTAGAAGTAGACTCTGTAGATGTTGTAGAAGATGTAGAGACTGTAGACTCTGTAGATGCTGTAGACTCTGTAGATGCTGTAGACTCTGTAGAAACTGTAAACCCTGTAGAAGCTGTAGATTCTGTAGATGCTGTAGATGTTGTAGAAGCTGTACAAACTGTAGATTCTGTAGATGTTATAGAAGCTGTAGACTCTGTAGATGCTGTAGAAACTGTAGACCCTGTAGAAGCTGTAGATTCTGTAGATGCTGTAGATGTTGTAGAAGCTGTACAAACTGTAGATTCTGTAGATGTTATAGAAGCTGTAGACTCTGTAGATGCTGTAGAAACTGTAGACACTGTCAACTCTGTAGACTCTGTAGATGCTGTCGACTCTGTAGATGCTGTAGAAGCTGTAGACTCTGTAGATGCTGTAGACACTGTCAACTCTGTAGATGCTGTAGAAGCTGTACACACTGTCAACTCTGTAGACTCTGTAGATGCTGTCTACTCTGTAGATGCTGTAGAAGCTGTAGACTCTGTAGATGCTGTAGAAGCTGTAGACTCTGTAGATGCTGTAGAAGCTGTAGACTCTGTAGATGCTGTAGAAGCTGTCGACTCTGTAGATGCTGTAGACTTTGTAGAGGCTGTAGACTGAACAGATGTGGATGACACTGTAGAAGCTATAGACACTCTAGAATCTGTAGAAGCTGTAGAGCCTGTAGAAGCTGTAGACTCTGTAATTGCTGTAGAAACTGTAGACTCTGTAGATCATGGGCGTAACTTGTGGGGGGGCCAGGGGGGCCTGGCCCCCCCATAGCGATTAAAGAAGTTTACTAAATATTTATTTATAACGTTGTTTCTATGAAGTAAAAATGCATGTAATGTAGTTAATAATACATGTAAAAGTTAATACGTAAAAGTTAATACATTTTAAATTGTTATTGTAAGTAAATTAATAAATCAAAACAAACTTAACGTCTCCCTCAATCTCATTTGCGTAAGAATTGTCACGTGACGAATCTGCATTTTGGTGGATAATAGACTTAACGGTAATGCTTGCCTGTTGTGTGGAATAAAATGATGTCCTGCGTTTTTAACAACATACACGAACTGCAGAGAAATCTGGAGACAACGAAAAACTCAGATGAAGATATTAATGCCGTGCTTAATGATTCCGGACCCGGACAATCAGATAAAGGTGATCCACAGGACGCAGCAGGTTTAGCCGCACACTACTTTTATGCCGACCATTTACATACAAATGTTATTTAATTTTCACAGACCACAACCTTTAAATAGATTTTAGAATATAAACTGTTTATCGTCTATTCAATAAGACTAAATAAAAAGTGTGCGCCTCATTGTGCATTAACTTGAATCAAGCCCAACAAATGTCTGTTTTAAAAACAGAGGATGAGTAATTCACTCCTTGATTTGCTTAATAAAAGCCTCCTTTGAGATCGTTTTGACAGACATGTTTATTGTGCATTTTAAACATGTTTATTGCTAAGTTTAGTGTGGCAAAAGAAAGAAAAGAAGATCTGAATCAGCTATGATCGGCGCATCACTAATTAAAATACTAAGTAAAAGGCCTCAAATTTGAAGTACAATCTGGGATGTCTTTTTCTATCAATTCTTCAATAGGTAGATCTTGTCTTTCATAAAGGCCGAGGTCAGGGATCTTGGGCCTAAAAAGGTTGGTGACCACTGATCTACAACTACAGCAATAACCAACAGCAGCAGCAATTCAGCAGCAGCAGCAGTGTAGCAGATCTATTCCGCCAAGACAAAATACATTAACATTGTCATATTCATCACCATGCTAAAATCTTCAGAGAGTTGTCATGATTAAAATATTTTTATTTAATTAAAATAAAATATTACATTGCAATGTTAGAAATTATTAGATAAAAAAAGAAAAAAGAAAAAGAAGCATGACCAGTATTTAACCTCAAAACAGTTAAACAGCAATTACAATGTTTACATTTGAAAACATACATTTGGAAATGCATGAGGAAAAAGATCTACTTCTCCCTCCCAGAACAGCCTGCTGTTAAACAAATATCTGCAATTATATTCTTGAGGAACAATACATCATCAAACTTATCTTTATATTACTCTATACCATTATTTCAGAGTGTGCTGCAATGGGAAGAATGTTGTACCTGTATACCATGTAATAATAATAAATACATTTGTTGTTTAATTGTTTGTTATAGCGTTTATTATTGAAGTTTCATATTTGTTTGATATATGTTTAAGGGATCTATAGGAAAAGCCTTAATAGTTTAGACATAATAATGAGGCATGTTGCTTGGAGCAGACTGGATTCAATCTTTAATCCATGTGAAGCTATAGTTGCTGTGGTAGCTGCAGGAGTGACAGTGGTAGCTGAAGCTGTAATAAAAAACATAAGCAAATTAGCTAGATATCTCTATAAACCTATAGTTATAGATAGGTTACAGGAATAGAAGACTATAAAGCTACTGAGTAATAGAGTTTACCTGAACCATTGACTGAAATTGATTGAGGAATTATGTTCAATAGATTGACATCTGCGTTTTCCACTGCTGTCAAGAGGGTGTTCGAAATCTCTTCAACAGATGGGATAGTTTGATTTAAGCTGAAAGCTAGTTGTGTTGATGTGATGATTGACCCTCGTCTAGAATATATAAATGTTGAAATTAATGTTACTTTTAAAATTTCAGTTTATTGCAAGTTTTTTTTCTCTCTCTCTTTCAAACACACACACACACACACACACACACACACAGCATGCATAAAATGAGCAACATTTCAATATGCTGCATTTACCTGAATCCTAGGACAATCACTCTGAGGAAGTTAGCATACTTGATTTTGTAGATGGGCTCAAGCTGGAACAAATAACAAATAATTACGGACATCACTTAAAACAGGGTAATCTAGGTTAAGTGTTTGTTACATAATTGTCTCTTCTATTAATTAAATGTTTAAAAGTCAAGAAAAGTATCATCAATGTGCTTCAGTAAATATAATAAATGGATTTTTAACTCACCTCATCTTTGACAAGCTTAGACCTGTCCTTGAATTCCTCAGTGCTGCTATTGCTGAGTGCATCTATAAATGTGTCCAAAGAACGAAACTCCAGATCTGTTAGCACCACAGGTACTGTTTGTGCAGTAGTTGCTGTAGAAGTTGTAGATGTTGTAGAGACCGTAGGTGCTGTAGAAGCTGTAGACTGAGCAGATGTGGATGACACTGTAGAAGCTATAGAAGCTGTAGAAGCTATAGAATCTGTAGATGATGTAGAGGCTGTAGACTGAGCAGATGTGGATGACACTGTAGAAGCTGTAGACAATGTAGAAGCTGTAGAAGCTGTAGGCTCTGCAGATGCTGTAGAAGCTGTAGACTTTGTAGAAACTGTAGACTCTGTAGATGTTGTAGACTCTGTTGATGCTACTGTAGATGCTGTAAACTGAGTAGATGTGGATGACACTGTAGAAGCTGTAGACGCTGTAGAGACTGTAGAAGGAATGACTGTTGTAGCACTAGTGGTGGATGTGTCAGCAGCTGGTGAAGAGGAACTGACTGAAGTCAAAGTAGAAGTTGATGATTGTACCACTGTTGTGGTTATTGCTTCACTGCTGGTGGATGTTCCAGTAATAGATGTTGGGGCTGTGGATGAACCTGTTGGTGTTGTGAATGTTTCAGCTGTGCTAACAGCTGTACTATGAGAAGCAGCTGAAGAGGGATTAGTCAAAGAGGACTGTGTGGTTTGAGATGCTGTGGCAGTGACTGGTGCACTAATGGTGGATGACTCAGTAAGAGTTGTTGTGACAGAGAAAGAACTTGTTGGGGTTGAAGTTGTTGGTATTGTGCATGGACTGTCATTTGGACAAAGTATAGTTGAGGGCATCGCGGTTGTTGTAGCTGTTGTGGAAGATTCAGCTGTTGTAACACTAGTTTGTGGTGCTGTTGTGGTTACTCTTGCAGTAGTGGTGGATGATTCAGCAAGAGTAGTGGTTGTTAAGGGCGCTGCTGTTGTTGTAGCTGTTGTGGAAGATTCAGTTGTTGTAACAGTAGTTTCTGGTCCTGTTGTGGTAACTCCTGTAGTAGTGGTGGATGATTCAGTAACAGTTGTAGTGGTTGTTGAGGGCACCGCTGTTGTGGAGGATTCAGTTGTTGTAACACTAGTTTGTGGTGCTGTTGTGGTAACTCCTGCAGTAGTGGTGGATGATTCAGTAACAGTTGTAGCGGTTGTTGAGGGACCTGCTGTTGTTGTAGCTGTTGTGGAAGATTCAGTTGTTGTAACAGTAGTTTCTGGTCCTGTTGTGGTAACTCCTGTAGTAGTGGTGGATGATTCAGTAACAGTTGTAGTGGTTGTTGAGGGCACCGCTGTTGTGGAGGATTCAGTTGTTGTAACACTAGTTTGTGGTGCTGTTGTGGTAACTCCTGCAGTAGTGGTCGATGATTCAGTAACAGTTGTAGTGCTTGTTGAGGGTGCTGCTGTTGTTGTAGCTGTTGTGGAAGATTCAGTTGTTGTAACAGTAGTTTGTGGTGCTGTTGCGGTTACTCCTGCAGTAGTGGTGGATGATTCAGTAACAGTTGTAATGGTTGTTGAGGGTGCTGCTGTTGTTGTAACTGTTGTAGAAGATTCAGCTGTTGTAACACTAGTTTGTGGTGCTGTTGTGGTTACTCCTGCAGTAGTGGTCGATGATTCAGTAACAGTTGTAGTGCTTGTTGAGGGCACCGCTGTTGTTGTAGCTGTTGTGGAAGATTCAGTTGTTGTAACACTAGTTTGTGGTGCTGTTGTGGTAACTCCTGCAGTAGTGGTGGATGATTCAGTAACAGTTGTAGTGGTTGTTGAGGGCGCTGCTGTTGTTGTGGATGCTGTAGAAGATTCAGTTGTTGTAACACTAGTTTGTGGTGCTGTTGTGGTAACTCCTGCAGTAGTAGTGGATGTTTCAGCAGGAGCTGTAGTGGTTGTTGAAGACGTCGTTGTAGCTGTGGGTGTTGCGAAGGGGTCGGTTGTACTAACAGATGATGGTGATGATGTTGAATCTGTTGTGGAGTTTGTTGTACTTTGGGATTGGACTGTTGCTAGAGAAGACAAAAAGTTGGTGTGCTGTTAAAGTTATATATTTTAAACATGTATATATTACGTTTAAGTCAATTGGAGAATTGTTGTTGTTGTTTTGTACAATTTGTTTTACATTTGATTCACCTACCAATGAAAATGCACATTATAATAAAAGCTTTTCCCTCCATTCTGGAAAGAGTCCAGTGGTTATAATAAGAGTCTGCAAAGCAAGCTGCATTGTTTATCCTTTTGATCTTTCATTCAAAAAAATCACAAAATTCTAACCTATCATTGTAAAACAATTGAAAGTGGGGGGAAATCTCATTGTGAAATGAATGCTTTCTCAAGTTCACGTTGGCCAGTATTATTGGCACCCAATTATTGAAAAATCTTTTTCCCAAGATAACAGCTTTTTCTCCTGTAACAGAGTTTTCTCCTATAATGCCTGAAGAGTTTGGAGAACACCTGATAAGAGATCAGAGACCATTCCTTCGTACAGAATCTCTCCAGATCCTACAGATTCCCAGCTCCATGTTGGTGCTTCTTCTCTTCAGTTCACCACACTCATTTTCTATAGGGTTCAGGTCAGAGGACTGGGACATGGCAGAAGCTTAATTTTGTGCTCAGTGATCTATTTTTGTATCGATTTTGATGTTTGTTTTGGATTATTGTCCTGATGGAAGATTTAACCACGACCCATTATAAGATTTCTAACAGAGGCAGTCAGGTTTTGATTTGTTTTATCTGTTGGTATTTGATAGAATCCATGATGCCATGCATGAACAAAATGTCCAGGACCTCCAGCAGAAAAACATTAAAGGCCCACAAAATTAAAGATTCAGCAGTATATTTAACCGTGGGCATGGGGTACTTTTTATCCCTGTTTGTACTAAACCCATCTGGTGGGTTTTCTGCCAAAAAGCTCTTTTTTAGTTTCATCTGACCAAAGAAGCCAGTGCTATTTGAAGTTCCAGTTGTGTCTGACAACTGAATATGCTTTTTGGATGAGTGAGGAGAATTTTTCTTGAAACACTCCTGAACAACATGTAGTGATTTTTTAGGCTTTCTGACCCCAAGACTCAACTAAACGCTGCAATTCTCCATCTGTGATCCTTGGAGATTCTTTCGCTACTCAAACTTGCCTCCTCACTGTGCATTAGGACAGTATAGACACACATCCTCTTCCAGGCAGATTTGTAACATCTTTAGTTAATTGGAACCTCTTCATTATTGCCCCGATGGTGGAAATGGGGATTTTCAATGCTTTGGCTCTTTTCTTACAGCCACTTTCTATTTTGTGAAGCTCAACAATCTTGTTCTGCACATCAGAACTATATTCATTGGTTTTACTCCTTGTGATGAAAGATTAAGGGAATTTGGCCTTTGTGTTCCTCATATTTATAATCCTGTGGAGCAGGAAGTCATGGCTGGACGATTTCATGTTCCTAGTCACCCTGGTGTGCTAAAAATGTAAATATGAATGGGATTATACTTCAGAGATGTTTTACTCGTAAGAATTTCTATAGGAGTGCCAATAATTGTGGCAAACATGCATTGAAGAAAAACTTAAATTTTCTCCCCACTTTCAAATGTTTTACTTCAATGAAAGGTTAGACATTTTGCAAATTTTCTGAATGAAAGATCAAAAAGATCAAGGAAGCAGATTTATTTGGACAGCCGCCTTTGCTCATATTTACCAAGGGTAAGAGTACCAAATTTAGTGGAGGGCACTGTGTAAGCCTCCTATCCCAAGGCTACATTTATTTAATAAATGTACAAAAATACAGAAAAACAATAATTTTGTAAAATATTAATAGCTGGCTTCTATTTGTGTGTCACATGATTCTTCAAAAGCATAGAAGACTTCTTTCAAAAACATGAACAAACTGAATTATTCCAAACATTTGACCAGTATTATATAATAATGTAATAATAAAGCAAAACATTCATATATATATATATATATATATATAAACAACCACTGCATCCAACAGATGTCAGATGTTACCAGCATCAGATGTGGAAGAGAATAAAATAAACTTTACAAACATTATTTTCATGGTTTCAGTAGTACCATGCAAACACTTGCACTCTTGATTTAACAGTTATCTACTCTGTCTGAAAAAAAATGTATACACTAATACTATTTTATTATGACTCCTTAATATTAAACACAAATGGTTCAGTAAACAAATAGACATCTAGATAAATGATTACTTATTATAAATGTTCCGACTACATTCATTTCATATAAAATGCATTTAACAGTAACAGAACACAGAGACTACTACAAAAATGACAAAAATTGTTACATTTTATCACATTACTACATTATGTGAAATTAAATTAGTAATCCCTTGATTATTATGCCCGATATGCAATATTTTCAGCAATTAAACTATACTTTATAATATTAATATAATGAAGACAAATATATTTAGTTAAATAAAGTGCTCTTACCAGTCCTTTAGCAGATATATTATGCTGAACACGTTGATCGGTAATCCGCTGTTGTCTCAGTGATCCAATAGTTATTCTATGCTTCAGTTCTTCCACTTCTCTTTAATCGCCCGTGACGCTGCCTCTTAAATACCACTTAGTGACGTCCTGACTTGTGGTTTGTTACTTCACTGATATGCAAACACCGTGACGATATTTTTTCGTAAATCTTTTGTATTGTGCCCGTCTAAAGTGTCTGGAGTGCGCAACAATTTATTATAGGCTTATTTATAGAAACTGTTAAGTAACTTGATAAAGCCATATAGTTGCACATTTTAATTTATAAGCGTATGCCATTCTCATACCATGATTATGTTTTCATTTCAATCAGACATTGTTTTAAATGTATCCAAAATATAAAAAGCGATTTTTTTTTTTGAGGGGACATAATTTGTTTTAATTTTTTTATTTCTTGATATAAATGGAATTGCATTAGCAGTTTATACAAAAACAACATCAAACTCAGAGATTCCCATGAGTTTAATAATTGATCAGCACGTGATCTTTTTATGGATCCTATACATCTACTGATCACGATTACCGCACATGTGAGATGTCAAAAGGGACCAACACAAAAGACACTAGGTTTACCTATGCATTCTTCACATACTGGCACTTATTTTCACTGGCTTCCTTGACGTTTTTGAGAAAGTTTGCCCTCACTAATGAAGCATCACTAGCCCAATACTCAACAACTGAACTCGTAGTGCCGAGACACGCATATTTAGTAGCTATATAGAATGTTTCACATAGTTGCTTTTCTGCCGATAAGTATCGCGGGACTCATTGTAAATTAGAAATAGAGAGAGAGAACCCTTTCTAAATTGCTTCTTTTTTTTTTTTGCTTCAGTTCTTCCACTTCTCTTTAATCGCCCGTGACGCTGCCTCTTAAATACCACTTAGTGACGTCCTGACTTGTGGTTTGTTACTTCACTGATATGCAAACACCGTGACGATATTTTTTCGTAAATCTTTTGTATTGTGCCCGTCTAAAGTGTCTGGAGTGCGCAACAATTTATTATAGGCTTATTTATAGAAACTGTTAAGTAACTTGATAAAGCCATATAGTTGCACATTTTAATTTATAAGCGTATGCCATTCTCATACCATGATTATGTTTTCATTTCAATCAGACATTGTTTTAAATGTATCCAAAATATAAAAAGCGATTTTTTTTTTTGAGGGGACATAATTTGTTTTAATTTTTTTATTTCTTGATATAAATGGAATTGCATTAGCAGTTTATACAAAAACAACATCAAACTCAGAGATTCCCATGAGTTTAATAATTGATCAGCACGTGATCTTTTTATGGATCCTATACATCTACTGATCACGATTACCGCACATGTGAGATGTCAAAAGGGACCAACACAAAAGACACTAGGTTTACCTATGCATTCTTCACATACTGGCACTTATTTTCACTGGCTTCCTTGACGTTTTTGAGAAAGTTTGCCCTCACTAATGAAGCATCACTAGCCCAATACTCAACAACTGAACTCGTAGTGCCGAGACACGCATATTTAGTAGCTATATAGAATGTTTCACATAGTTGCTTTTCTGCCGATAAGTATCGCGGGACTCATTGTAAATTAGAAATAGAGAGAGAGATCCCTTTCTAAATTGCTTCTTTTTTTTTGTTGTAAAAATTGATGTAGCCAAGCCATTTCTAATAATTATATATATATATATATATATATATATATATTATTCAGGCGGACAATATGTTTTAATTATCTGCATAACAATATTTGAAATAAAAGGATAATAACACGTGTTTTGTTTGGTTAGAAAAAATGTTTTCACAAAAGTAAAAATAAATAAAAATAAAAATCAGTGGAACTTCTGAAGCTTTAATGGTTGATGTCTATTACTGGTGTGTGCTTACATCACGTAATTTGTTTTCAGTTGCGACCTATTGTCTATATGGTTTTATTTCGTTAAAATCGTTAGGGCTATTGGACATTTCAGAAAAAAATCAGTGAGCTTACAAATTTCAAGAAAATTATAGTTGTATTTATATTATATTATACTTTATTAAAAAGACAATTATTCTTTTGAAAGAATCTTCTTGAAATGTGTTTGGTTATAATAAGAAAAAACAATATATTTTTTAATATATATATTTCATAATCAGAAACAACGTTTGTTGAAACGGCGAGACGCCAGTATACAGCTAGTAAGTGGGCTATAATAATAGCATAAGTACAGTCATTGTATTTTAAGTGCCATCTTTGATAATCAAGTCAAGTGAAGTAGTTGCCATTCCTCGCATTACAGTCAAGTCTAAGAAATGAATCCTTGGGTGTGTTACAGGTGAACACCCATCACTTTATTTCCAGAAATTGTACAGTGATGCTTAAGATGTTACACATCATTTATTACCTTTTTATTATTATTTTTTTTTTATTAATTTATTTTTTTGTGTAGTACATTTTCACAGAAAAGGCTATTCAGTTTAAATGTAGTGAAACTGTAGCAAAGAAATCCATGTGGGGTCAAATTTGCCTTGTAGAGAGAATTAAAAATTTAAATAATCAGATTCTTGAAAACAGAACACCCCTTAGTAAAGTATTTCAAATCAAATTTCCCCATCTGGCTTCAAATCTTCAAAAATGTCAATACTAGGCTATTAGTTCGCCTCGTGATAGCCTACTTCTAATCTCAGTAAAAATTAGCGCACTACTATTATAGGTATTGTCACTAGGCTATATTAAA